TAGAACTCAATGATTATCCTAATTATATTTTAGATTTTTTATCTTTAAAATAAGATGTTTATCTTGTATTTGATTATGTTTATCTGCAATTAGTTACACGAATTCAGATATCGAGCTTTAATAAATTGTACTTACGCACAATATACTTGTAATCTTGAGTTTTAAGTAATATGCATAAGTAAACAGTACTTTACGCATAAAAAATAGTTTTTAAGAATTTTGTCAAATGCTTTATAATATAATATAGATATATAGATAGTATAGATAATATTAAAACACTGTATTTATTTATTAAAATAGTATTTTTCTCTTTAAATTATTTATTTTCAAAGCTTCTATTGGTAGTCTCATTTAGTAATTATTTTTGGTGTGTTTCACATATTTAAAGAAAAAACCCTTCTCTCTCTTGCTTTTTTCCATTTGGAGGTAGTTTTAGGAAAGTTGTTGGAGCAAAAATACCGACTCAAAATACATATTTTTTAGTTTCATTTTGAAGAAACTACTGGAGATGCTCTAAGTAACCATTTTTTATGAAATTTCTAAATTTAAAGAATTTTCATCATCTCACTCATATTTTTTTTCATTTAGACAAGATTCATTTTAAAGAATCAGTTGAAACAAAAATAAAAAATAAAAAAAAAGCTTTATCTTAAAGAATTTGATTATGTTATAAAAACGAACTTCAAAATACATGAACATCTAGCTTGTCCCTACGGGTGTTCAAAAACCCGACCAACCCGATCAACCCAATCCAACCCAACCCAACCCAACAGAAAATAACTCAATCCGAAGCAACCCGATGTCTAATCGAGTTGTAAAATTGTCAAACCGTAGGTATTGGGTTAATATTGGGTTACTATTATTTGAACTCAATCAAACACGACGAACCCGATATCCTTTTATTTTTTGGATTTAGTATGATTATTGAATTTCTATTAATATATACATTAGACAATTACACTATCATGTATGCTTTTCATATACATATATTTTCAATCTATTCACATCTCTATATAACTCATTCGTATATATGTTCAGTAACTTTGAACATATATACGTAAATTGAGAAAATTAATTGAATTTGATATATGTAAGAAATATGGATAAGTTGTATCAAATGGTTAATTATGAAAAATAAATTATAAGTAGATAAATAATATATTCAAGGTTAGAAGAATATTTTAATATATCAAAGTATCAACCCGACCAACTTGTACGGATTAGGTTGGGTTGGGTTGCACTTTGGTTTTGGTTGGGTTGTGTTTAGATTTTTCAAACCACAAATATTAGGTTGGGTTGTTCAAATATCTTCTGCCCAATCAATCCACCCATGATGAACTCTACTTGTCACCATACGACCTCTGCTGCATGCCATCGAAAATTTCTAATTCATTAACACAACTATCATCATATTTTACACGTTTTTGGCACAAAGAAACCACTGTATTTAAATATAAAAAAAAAACCTTTTAATGATAACTAATAATTTTATAAGACAAAAATAACGAAGGTTATGTTAATTAGTTTTTATTTAGTACAACGATAAATTTATCTTTTCAATTAATGCAACAAACATTCAATTTTATTTAATTCATATATTGTTTTTCTGTCTACGTAATATTGATTGATTTTGATGTATTATTTTACCACATGAACAAGAACAATAATATGGTTTGATAAAATTTGGAATTAGTTATAAAAGTTACAGATTATCGATTAGGAATTTCGTTACCTTGAAACCATTATAGTTATGGCCACCGTCCATCGGGGCTTCGATCACCGGCTCTCTTTATAATGTTTACTAAAATGGAATACACTAAATTTTTGTTACATTAAAAAAATCATTGTTATATTAAGGGGCCGTTTACCGAACGCTTACCCGGGTAAGCGTTTACCAAGTAACATTACCTTACCGCATTAATATGGTAAAAACCAAAAATCTTACCCGGTAAGAGCGAGATAATGATCAAAAGTCTTACCCGGTAAGTGAAGGCGGCGACTCTTACCATGGCAAGCACTTACCGGTGTAAATTGTTGCATACGATGTTGTTTTGATGGATTAAAATATTACCCGATAAGTAAATAATAATATTAAATTTTACCGATAAACACTTACCGGATACAAGTCTCGTTTTATTTTGATGTATTTTAACCTTATTAATTTTCTCACTTACCTGTTTTTTGTTTGTTTCTTTAATGAGTTGTCGCTTGTTGACTCTGACATGATGACACAGAAAAAGTGGTCAAGAAGATGTTGATTTTTACTATTTGTTGGAAATAATTATTGAATGAAAAATCACTATTTGATAACATTATAATAAAAATTGGATTTATTTGTCGTAATCAATTTTAAAGCGTTTTAATACATGACTTAATTTGTAACATGAGTTTAAATCATTGCTTAATGCACAACTTCGAATACTAAGGGGTTGTTTGGCAATTGCTGAATGGTTTGGTGCAAAATAATTAAGTGGTCAGAATGATTAATAGGCTCTCATGATATAGTGTAAAATGAAATATAATTGTTTGGTAATTGTGTACAATGAAATTAGGGCTCTTAATGGTTAAGAAAGATCCATGATAAAAAATCATTCAGAGGGTTCTAAAATCATTAAGAGACATTTTTTTTTTGTCAAACAAGATTCACCTCTTAACGATTCAAAAGTTGTCTCTCAATGAAACTATTAAAAGATAAACAACAACCCCTAATACTTATAAAATAATACATAGACAATGCAATAATGGAAGTGAATCAAGTGTAACGTTAAAATGGAAATCATACCTTTAATTATCTTAATGGAAAAAACCATCTTATATTACGCCTCTCTGATAAACAAAGCTTTGTTCACATTCGATAGAGTTTTGTAGGTTTGTTTGAATGGTTATAAATAAATGTATACACAGATGAACAATGGAAGAGATTCACCCAACATTGTAATGGAAATCACACATTTTCTCATGGGAAATGGTCTCTTCTCGTCTCTCTTTCTTCTCTTAACACCCCTCGTCGTCGTCGTCTTCTTCATCATTAAAAAGTATTCTGGATCTGCAAAAAACCTGCCGCCAGGGCCACCACCATGGCCGATCATCGGAAACATACACCAAATAGGCGAGAGCCCTCAAGTTTCCATGGCCATGTTTGCTCAACAATATGGTCCACTCATCTCCCTTCACTTGGGTACTCAACTTCTTGTGGTGGCGTCTTCTCCAGAAGCAGCCATAGGAATTCTCAAGAGTCACGACCACCTTCTTTCTTGTCGCTCAATTCCTGACGCCATTGACCATGGTTTGGCACCCTTTTTTTTCGTTTGGTCCACAGATTGCGGCCAACACTGGAAGTCGCTAAGAACCCTTTCTCGAAACGAGATGTTCTCGGTTAAAGCCTTGCAAGCCCAGTCTGGTTTGAGACACAAAAAGGTGGATCAAATGTTAGGTTTCTTGCATGGCAAGAAAGGACAAGTCGTGAACATTGGGGATCTTGTTTTTACTACAACGTTCAACACATTGAGCAATGTTTTCTTTGGCAAAGATTTTCTTGATTTTGGAGATGAACATGGAATTGCTGGAGGCTTGAAAGAGAAGCTTAATACATTACTCGCTTACGGAGTCAGACCCAATATAAGCGATTTCTTCCCCATATTTAAGAGATGGGATCTTCAAGGATTAAGGAAGAGACACATGAAAGGTATGAGGGAGGTTTTTAGCATTTGGGAGCACTTAATAGATGAAAGGAGAGCTAAATATAGTTCGTCCATGACGGTGGTCGAAGACAAGGATAAATCGTTCCTAGATCGGTTACTTGAAAGTGGATTCACAAACGACCAAATCAATATATGTGCTATTGTAAGCGTTTTCTTATCCGTTCTTACATGAATCGTTTGACACGTGGTTGATTATAAGCGATCTTAATCTAAGTTCAAAACCCGTGAAAACATGTACGAGTTCATTAAAGTTTTCTTATCGGTTGTTTTCTACTTGCAAAGGTTTTAAACTTTTTCATAACGGTTTTGAACAAAGATTGAATTTTAATTCGAAAAACGTTATTATTTTTATACTATGTATTGATTTTCTTTTTGCTATTTGTAGGATTTATTTATAGCAGGTACAGATACTACATCCTCAACTGTTGAATGGGCTATGGCCGAGTTGCTGAAAAATAAAGAAGCCATGAACAAATTACAAGAAGAGTTGAAGCACAAAAGTGATTCAAATATGATAACGGAATCTCATCTTTCCAAATTCCCTTATCTAAATGCTTGTATAAAAGAAACGCTAAGATTACATCCTCCGGCACCTCTCCTAATCCCTCGTCATGCTTCTGAGACTTGTGAGGTTATGAATTATACGATCCCTCAAAATACCAAAATTTTTGTCAACGTTTGGACAATCGGCCGAGATCCCAAAATTTGGGAGGACCCTCTCTCGTTTAAACCAGAAAGATTTCTTGGCTCGAGTTTGGATTTTAAAGGGCAGGACTTTGAGTTCATACCATTTGGTGCAGGGAGAAGGATGTGTCCCGGTACACAATATGGTATCAAGAGTGTTCAATCTATATTAGCATCGTTGATTCATCAGTTTGATTGGGTTCTTCCCAATGATGATGATCCTACAAAGCTTGACATGAACGAAAAGTTCGGAGTGACTTTGCAAAGGGAAAAACCTCTTCAACTCATTGTCAAAGACTCAAAATAATCAATGGCGTAATTTATGTGATTTTCTGATTTTAGTACTCGATATTTTTGAGTGAGTATGCATAAATAAAATATGAGCTCAAGAATTTATATATACATCGATATATACACACACACACAAACAAAATAGTTGTTTATTTATGTCGTGGGATTTAAATTTTGTTTTTAGTAAGTTACACTTTTGGTCTTTATGGTTGTCACTCGTTACCAAATCTTGTTTTTTTTTGTAATCAATTACAGTTTTGGTCACTGTGGTTATCATTTTATTTCATTTTTGGTCTCTCGGATTAACTTCTGTTAAATAGATCCGTTAACTCAAGGGGTATTTCCATCTTTTTATAATTTTCATTTATATTCATTTAAAGAATTGAGAATTATATAATGTAATCTATTATATTTAATATTATATATATATATATACACACACATATATGTAGAGAAAGGTCTATTTGAAAAGTGATAAATATTGAAGGAGTAAAGAAGTGATCCTAACTCTCCATCTGGTCAACATTTGCGGCTTTGATGATGAAGTATCGAATAAATTCTCACATCTTTATGGAAAAGATAAATGGGTAGTTTCATAACTTTTTTACAAATAAACTGTAACACCCCAAAACCACATTCATACATTTTCAAAACATTAAGGGTGCGTTTGGTGCGCAGACAAGACTGGACAGGACAGGACGGGACGGGACAGGACAGGACATGACAGGACAGCTGTTCAGCGTTTGGTAAGACAGGACAGGACAGGACAGAACTGGTTAAAATGACCAATTTACCCCCCCAGTGAGCTGTTTAGTGTTTTTCACTACGAAATGCAACCTAAAATAGATTCTATCAAACAGCAACAGCGATAGAAACAACAACCTAATCGAGGTTTATGCTAAACATGTGATCAAACAGCAACAGCAAATACGGCAACCTAATCGATGTTTATGCTAACTACAACAAATACAGCAACTACAAACTACAACAAATACAGCAACTACAAACTAAAACAAATACAGCAACCTAACAAATGGCAGAAGATGAAACTATGGTTGCCATGGTTGCCACAGCACCATGGTTGCCATGGTTGCCACATGAACATGAACCTCTCAACACAGGAGCAAGAAACTGTGGCAGTAGCCAACCGATTGAAGTAAGAAATAAGCTAACATTTACAAATCAAAAGCAACCGATTGAAGTAAGAAATAAGAAATAAGATTTTGATGCAAAACAAAACCCATGAACATGAACCTTCCACTGTTCTAAGAAATAAGCCCCAAAATCAACATAGATTTTGATGCAAAACAAAACTCATGTCCAAATTGAAGTAATAAATCAAGAAAGGCGATGAACAGCTACAATTTGTGGTAAGAACATACCTACAATTTGTGGAGAAAACCAGGTCGCGATGAACAGTGAATTGGATTAGGTCGTCCGTCGATTGGAGCTCGTCGGCGAGAGGAGATGGTCGCCGTCGACTGGAGCTCGCCATCGAGAAGATGTCGCCGTCGACTGGAGCTCGCCATCGAGAAGATGTCGCCGTCGATGGGGAGGAACCGATGGAGGCGATGAACAGTGGAGAAACCAGGGGTCGCCGTCCGTCGATTGGAGCTCGCCGGCGAGAAGAGATGGTCGCCGTCGATTGGAGCTCGCCGTCGAGAWGATGTCGCCGTCGATGGGGAGAAGCGATGGAGGCGATGAGGGTTATGTCTGTTTCATGCGATAGCCGGCTGGGAAAAGGGTATAGAGGGAAAAATAGTTGAGTTCTACTTAGTTCCAGGGGTGTAGGTGGAACACCCGTGTCCAACGTTTGTGCAAGTTAGTTCTACTTAGTTCCACATTTAGTCATACCAAACGTAGGACAAATGTGTTCTGTTCTGTCCTGTCCCACCCTGTCCGGCGTACCAAACGCACCCTAAAAATGAGGGTTAGACTTTGAGGTATAGTGAGAAATCCCTTTGTTGGCTATTACAGGGTGAATAATCACCAAAACACATTTATAAACTCATATTTGTGTTCTTAACAAATAAACAACACTTTATTAAAACAAATCTCTTTTGTTGCATCAAAATGATGAGACATAATCCAATTACCTTATCAAAATAGCCAAATAATTCATTTAACACATCCTAATAAAACTCATCGCATTTTATAGATGAAAACATAATTTTCTCACATCACATGAGTGAGATAACCCCATCTCCTCTCGTCACACTGGTGCGCGAACCTCATCTCATTGCATCACACTGGTGCGATAAGCCCAATATGCCATGTCATATTGGTGCGACAAGTTAACTTGTCGCATCACAAGGATGTGACAATCATACTCCTCGCATCACAAGTATGCAATAAACACCGCTCATCGTCATCGCATCACAAGGATGCGAAAAAACAAAAAGCACTTTTAATCAAAACCCAGATTTTACATTCTGTTTGGTAATGCCACTCTTATCCCAAAATACACTTCTCCTTGATATGCCATCTTTATAACCAAAATATACATCTCATTGATATATCACCCTTATTCCAAACTCATGATATAACACATCAAAATCCCACAATTATGCTTATTAAAACATCAAAAACAGTTTTATATCATTCCTATATAAAGAACCATACGGTTCTAATTTCAATTACCAAATAAGAAAAGTTTGTAAAATAATATCACCTTATCAATCTCAAGAGAGGGAGATACGCAGATGAACAATAACAAATTATTCAAAAAATAATCATAGAATAAATTATATAGGTTTTCCTTCTTTGGTTTTATATTTTCTTTAACTCAAGAACACCCAAAAGCTTTTTCTCTTTTTCTTTCTAAAACAAGTATCCCCAAAATCACATAACCCCATGAGATAATAAAAATTATCTCAAGATAAAGAGTATTCATAACAAATAAGGCCGGGGTAGTATTAAAACAATTTAGGTACATATACACATTTAACCCTTCAACTTATCATCATCTTTCAAAAACAATCCTGAGCTTTAATAACAAAATACATGGTTATCACATAAACGGAAAACGAGTTCATATGTGAACCCATGTGATTCACATGTGAACTCTATATTCAGATGTGAATCCTTTAGTTAGCTCACATGTGAACTATTTAACTGATTCATATATGAACCCAAAGGTTCATATGTGAATCAGTTAATTAGTTCATATGTGAATCACATAGGTTCACATATAAATCCGTTTGCCACCTATTTGTAAAAGTTACAAAACTACCTCCTCTAGTTTTCGCATAGCCGTAATTTTTGACCAGTAATAGCTGCAATCATTGACCAGTCAAATCCGATCTTGACCGTATGAAGAGCTACGATCACTTTTATACTTCTTAAATATTTACCATTTCTCAAAATAACCTTTAGATATATATATATATATATATATATATATATAGAGAGAGAGAGAGAGAGAGGTTTAAACGAGAACGCTAACTATATAAGAAAACAAAAAAAAATGTCGTTAATGTACAAAATCACATATGAACCAATGTGTTCATACATGAATCAGTTAAAAATTCACATCTATACTATATTATAAAACATTTTACAAAAACTCTTAAATACCAATTTTTATGCACGAAATACTGTTTATTGATGCATATTACTTAAAATTTAAGATTACAAGTAAAATATGCATAAGTACAACTTATTAAAGCTCCATATTTGAATTCATGTAACTAAGTGTAGATAAACATAATCAAATATTGGATAAAATCTCATTTTAAATATAAAAAATCTAAAATATAATTAAGATAATTATTGAGTTCTAACAGAATATTTAGTTATTATCTTTATAAAAAAATTATATTATTAAACCTAAATTAAATTTCTTTGTTAGTAAATCTAAATTAAATTATAATTAAAAAATTGAATTAAAGAAATTACACCAAAACAAAAGAACTTTTAAAAAAATTAATTTGATATTGATATCGATATATATATATATATATATTTTTCTAAATTTTATGATATTTTCAAATTTATATTTTATTCAAAAATAAAAACATTATTGCCTTTTCAAAACCACATAAAACCGTATTATATTGACATAAAAAAGAATAAAACAAAAAACTGAAATCAAGACGTGTCTCGATGCATTGCACGAGTACCCTTCTAATATATATATATATATATATATATATATACACACACACACTATATTATAAAACATATATATATATATATATATATATACACACACACACACTATATTATAAAACATTTGACAAAACTCTTAAAAATGACTGTTTATTAATACATGTTACTCAATATTACAAGTAGATTGTGCGTAAGTATAACTTATTAAAGCTCTATATTTAAATTCGTGTAACTAACTACTGATTAACATAATCAAATACAGAATAAACATCTCATTTTAAGTATAAAAAATAAAAAATATAATTAGGTAATAATTAAGTTCTAACAGAATACTGTATTATTATTAAAATAATTTATTTCATCATTAAACTTAAATTAAATTATAATATTTTTTTTTAAAGAAATTACATTTAAAAAAATGAGAACTTTTAAATAGTTAATTTAATATATATATATTTTTTTTCAAATTTGATATTAACAAAATTTTAAGGCAGGCCGAGGTAGACATGGCAAAAAACCGGTCTTGGTCCCGCTCCAAATACGAAGGCCCAGTGATGAGAATCGGTCCCAGACCGGGTCCAAACAGGTCCTATGTAAAAAAAAAATTAAAATTCGATTTTTTATGTAATTTTTTTTGAAGTTATTTTTAGTCCTTCTGTCTCATTTGTGACTGTGCGTTGAATGAATAAACGGATGAAGTCAATAAAAAATCGAAGAATTCAAAGAGCGGGTCGGGACAAAGAAACGGAAAAAATAAAGTTGTATGGATTCATAGACTTTCTCGAGAGGAGCCAAAAAAGAGATATGGAAGTAGAGGATACAAAAGTTCATTTTATGACACTTAAAAAAATTAAAAATAGTGATCGTATGTGAGTTGGTATCTTCCCTCCATACACCATATCATATATATATATATATATATATATACATATATATATTAAATAAAGATAATTTTATAATTAGTTTTCAATCAAATACATTTAGAAAGTTAGAAAAATATTTAAAAATAAATCTAAAAAACATTTTTAACTTAAAAGGATGGATGGTTAAACATATATATAAAAAAAAATTGTGCTGTATTTCTTGTTTTTAATTTAACAAACAAAAT